TAATGGTGGCTCTACAAAATATTAATAAAAAAATTTTTTTTTGGGGTGGTCCATGACTTTTGGGAGGTGAGTGTATAAAAATAAAAGAATTTTTTAAATTTATACATATGTTACACCTATTCTTTGGACCTTTAAAAAAGAGGTTACTATTTGGCCGCCATGAACTTTGTCTATATAAAAAAAATTATATTTCTGTACCTCTGTAATCTTTGAGATTTTTCCCATGTGCATATCTGGAACAACTTTTCATGCAAAGGTACTCTCAATTAGTCTGTCTGATCATTAATTAAAATTCACTCACTATATGGAATTTGGACTAGGAAAATCAACAACCTCTGGGTCTCAGGACCAAAATCAAGATTTTTGATTCAATTTCTTCTATTATACAAGGATTATAAATGAAAGTTTTGAATGATGTTGGCATAATAAAACCTTGTACAATTGAGCAGTGTTCGAAATTCGATCTGCAAGAATTTTTTTGCGCACATCCAAATTATCCAATTAAAAAAAAAATTTTTTTCCGATTTATTTTTTTTAAATTACAAAAATTACTTCTAAAAAAAAATTCTTCTACTTTTTTTATTTATCCAATGTTCATATGCATTCTCAAAATTAAAATCCTCAATATCAGGTCCATTTAATTTAATAATTAAATGTTTATTTAATGTGCTAATATTCATTTTGTTTCTTATTTTATCCTTAATTAATTTTGTTTGAGAAAATATTCTTTCAACATTAGCATTTGAAAGAGGAATAATAAGTGCTATTTTATTTTAATTATTATTTTATTATTTAATAATTGATTATTTATTTATTATTATTGTTAATTATTATGTGGAAGGAAGTTTTTAATTTTTAATATTAATATTAAAATCCGCACATTAGATTTGTTAAAAAATTTTGCGCACACAAAATTTTGTGTAACTTACTGCGCGCGCCGATTCCGCCGATTGAATTTCGAACACTGCAATTGAGTCTTCGTTTTTGTAGTGATTTTTTTTTAACAAATTCAGAAATGATCATCATTTGCGCACATTAAATTTTTAACAAAAAAAATCTTTATTTATGGTTCTGAATAATAAACATCTTTATATGGTTCACTAACATGTTGAATACAAGTTTTCTTTTCTTTTTCTGGTAATGGTGCTACTGGAAGAATCTCTGGGTGATCAAGAAAATCAAAATTATTTCTTAAAAGTAAAAAAGGATTTTCAATTCCATTTGATCCTTTTGAAACATACAGTAAGACTTCTATATAGTCACATCCAATATAGTCACAACTCCTATATAGTCACATATTTTTTAATCCTGATTTTTTATATTAAAATTAATCACATATAGTCACTTTCATATTGCAATAACAGGAGAGACTGTCCTGTATAAGGAATGGATTTTCACAATTGATTTCAATTTTTTTTATACAGTTTAAAATACTTTTACAAGGGTATCATGTAGCCCATTCTTGCAATAAATTATGTGTAAATAATTACACAAACTTGAAGCTTTACACTTTGTTGTTATCATATCTTTTGAATCCCACAACTTTCATAATACAATTTACTTGAAGAAAAATTGCCTGTAATTAAACATTGCACAGAATGTAAACCACTGAATCAGCTAAATTTCATCAACAAAAGGCAATAAATGGAAGAAGCTGAGAACAACAACTTAGTGAAAGTAACATGTTGTTTTATGTAACATATGCTATATGAATTTTGTAGAAAATCTTTTAAAAAGAGAACCTAGGAGAATAAAAACCACAGATGTGAAAGTGGAAATGGAAGTGGAAGAGGTAAGTGAAAAGATTGATTTTACTAGAGCCATCAAGGTCCTATATACGATTTTAATGAAATATGAAGATTGCTCCAAGAAATAGAACCAAGCTTGAAGGGTTTTTTGACCAACTCTATTTAGCAGTTTGGCCATTTGAATGTAATGGACCATATGAAGAGATTAATGGTGGTGTTCATGTGTTATCTTCTTCTTGTTTTAAATAATACAAAAATTAACTCAACATTGTATTCTATTTAGACTCAGTAGATACAAGTCTTGGAGTAACTACAACATCAAGAGCAGTAGATCATAAAAAAAAGCAAGTTGCAGATGAACATGAGAAATATGTAAAGAATGCACTTACAAAATATTCAAAAATACATTCTTGTTGAATGTTGACAATTATCATAGATTCACATCCAGAGACAATCAGTATCCTTTAATTACTAAAACTTTGTTACTTCTAGGAAACCATCTACAAACATTTTTTGCAATTATGTATAATGTGATTTTGTTACAAGAACAGTCTCTCCTATGTATGAAGCTGTTTGTAAAATATATTTAATGAATGCTTTATCAATTATTAAATAATCATATAGGCGGGTTTGATTGAAGTAATTGTTAAAGTCAAGATCTATGAAGCTTGCAATCCAAGTTGCAAAATGAACTTTTATCAATTATTCGATAATTATAGAGGCAGGTTTGATCCAAGTAAGTGTTTAAGTCAAGATCTACAAAGCTTGCAATCCAGCTTTGCAAAATGAATGTATAGGCATGAATGAAGCACTTTTAGTAATAAACAAATAATCAATTCAATTGTCAACAATTAATTAATTAAACAAAATAATGCTTTCTTAAAAAATAAACAAATCAATGGTATGATCCAAAAAAAAACAGGACAAATGATAATAATAGTAAAAAAAAGTTTTTTAGCATTTTTAGTTAGTTAAACAATAATCAATTCAATTAATAAAATTACATAGATCGATTTTTGAAATTACCAAATTACCACCCATTGAAAGCAAAAAATTCCTTCACAAAAAATTAGGTTTGAAAAACAAAAATTTTACCTGCTTGCATTGCTTTGCTTACTTTGCTTTGTTTTGCAATTCATTGCAAAGCAATATTTTTTAAAAAACAAAACATTTACTATACAACAAATTTTTGCTAAATGTGAAAACGTTGATCGCGCCAAAACCAGGCACGACTAGACGTAAAAAGAGACAATCAGCAAAAAACCTGCACGAAAGTCGCACGACTTGCGGGTTGTGGAAGGATATCGTGACACAGCAAATGTTCAATCTTTTTTTTGTGTTAAATAATAATTGAAAGCAACTATTCTCTACATAATTCTATATAGCCATGATATTTCCAAGGAGAATCACAAATATTTTGATTTAATTAATTAATAAACAAATAACTAAATAGAATTTAATTTGATTTATTAAATCATTGAATAAATCTCATCATCGTTGAAACAATCATTCTCATCTATACATTATTCCCGCCCTGATATTTGCGATTATAACAAGGAGAATCGTAATTGAAATAATTCAATTATCAACCAATAAAATTCTAAAACGTAATTAATCACGTGAGATCTTTGAAATCTATAACATTTTTGGATTGTTATTATTATTGATAGAATAATCTGGTTTGGATCTACATTTATCAATCTATTCAATCTATTTGCCCCTTGATCTACAGTCTAAAAAAAAAAATTGTATATACTAGAAAGATACAAATATAATAAGGATTCTGGGTTTCTGTAAAATGAACTAATACTAGTACGTGGGTATCAAAGTCTAGGGAGATACGACATGTTGGAAGAGTGTTCCTGTCTGACACGTGTATATCAACTTATTGGAATTACTATTTTTTCTCCCCTCAGAGTTGGAGTTTTCCAAATACAAACATGAATGAGGAACTTATTATTTTATTTAGATTTTATTTCTTTTAATTATTTTTATTTTTTATGTATTTTCTATAAAAAAATAAAGAACAAAGGAATTATGTCTAAAGTTAAGAAAAGATGGTAGAGAATATATTAATTAGAAATGGATATCAATAATTTATCGAATAATTATTTACATTGATTAATATAAATATTTTTTTATTTGAAAAAAATTTAATCATTATTATAAATAAATAATAATTATAATAGAATAATTGGAATAATGATATAATAATACTATGATAATAGTAGGAATAGTGGTAGTAGAAATACCAGATAAATATTAAATAGAAGACGATTTTTATTACTTGGGAAAAAAACATAATTTAGAAAAAAGGAGTAAAATAAAAAATCAAAAATCAAAAATGACTATTTGTTTTGTTTTTTAAGGGTAAAAGAAAAAACTTAAATTAAAAAAAAAAAATATTGTCCTTTGTTACAATGTTACATAGATTGATGTTGTTGTTGTTATGAATGTGTTAATTGCCTTTGAGAATTTGCAATTATTGCATTATTATTTGATGTGGTATTATTAGTATTGGTAGTGGCGGTAGGAATGTTGGCTATTGTTGTCGTGGGTGTGGTAGTAGTTTGTTGTTGTTGATTTGTAGATTGATTCTCGAGATTATTATTATTACCATTACTCGGCACAAAATATAAGTTTTGCGGGGGATGATGATGATGAATAGGCATTATGTGAGACGGGGGTGGCTGATTATGATGTTGATGATGTTGACTAAGCACAGGTGCTACAGGCGATTGAAGAGATGGTTGTTGTTGTCGTGAATGATGTGATTGTGACGGCGGATGTGATGACATTTGTATTGGAATTGTATTCATGTTTATACCATTTTGTGGCATTATATTATAAGCAGCAGTATTACCTAATGACATTGGACCTACCCGTTGATGTCCAAATCCCATTGTAGGAGGAGGATGTCCATAAGCTCCTCCACCACCATAATGATGATGATGATGTGGATGATGCGGATGAAATCGATTACCACCTTGCCTCATCTCCATTTCAACTCTCATCTCTAATAAACCTGCACGTTCTTTCAAATTACGATTTCTCCTTTCCAAATGTTTAATATAATCAACAGCTTTAAATAGAATGGTACTTTTGGAATTATTGACATTTTTTAAAGTTGGTATAATATCCGTTAATTCTTTAAAACCTGCGCGAATTGTATTTCGACGTTTTTGTTCAGAAGCTATATGATTTGCTCGTTTTTCTTCTTCAGTTAATAGTTCCTTGTAAGGCTTTCTACTAGATTTTGGTGTTGATGATTTGATTTCTTGCTTTATTTCTTCCGATGATCTTAACAATGAATGATCATTATTATTACCATTTGAATTACTATTATTCGAACCATTATTATTACGATTCGAGTTACTATTTGAATTAATATTATTTTTTTGATCATTATCATCATCATCATCATCATCGTCATCATCATCATCACCATGATTACTATTATTATCGTTATCGTTATCATTGTCATTATTATAACCATTGTGAATTTTAGCGATTTCCTTATTTGGAGAAAGAGGAGATCGATTATTACTACTTATGGGACTTTCATCTAAATAATTATAACTATTATCATGATTATTATTGTTGTTGTTGTTGTTGTTGTTGTTGTTGTTGTTGTTGTTAGAATTATCATCACCGCTACTATTATTACTACTACTATTAATAGAAAGATTAGATATTTGCATTGGTGGTGATATTGAGGGCTTTGAATGATGATTGTTATGAATCTGTGACATTGATAATTTTGTATTGATCGGTGTTAATCTTGGAATTGAAGTACGACGAATTGGTGGAACATCATCATCAACACTAGTACTTTTTTTACGTTTGGTAGGAATAGATGATGATGAGGTTGTTGATGTTGTTGTCGTTGATGAATTTTTCCCTCCTCCTCCTCCTCCTCCTCCTGCATCATTTAATCCAGGATTAGATAAACTCGTTGAAGCGACAACATTATTGTTATTATTATTATTGTGATGATGTGAATGATGATTACGGATATTATGATGTTGATTATGTTGATGATTATGGTATTGATTATGATAAATACCATTACCATTGCTAATGGAATTATCAGAACCAGTACTGATCATTAATCCGTTCTGATCATTATTACCATTACCGATACCTTCGCCATTCCTATTATTATCTTCAACTACAATCCCATACATATTATTGTTATTAGCAGAAGATGACGACGAAGGGGGAGGAGGAGAAGAAGAATGTAATGGAGGTGGAAATTCAGGCATATCTTCTGGTAATGTAGGGCTAAATATATAATTTGGATTTTCTTGAAGATTATGCAGAAATTCACCAAATATAAATTTTTCATCCGCCGGATCTAATAATTGTTGTTGGCTAAATTCTTCTGGTGGAAAAAGCATTGAAAATTCAGGTTCCCAATTGTATTCAACAAATTCTAACAAAAATGATTATTAAAAAATAAAATTAATGAATGCGTAAATATATGCATATGTGTGTATATATCATTATATTAATTAATGATATTAATTAATTAATTAATTAACTTCCTTACCATGATATGGAGGGGGTTTGGGAATTGGTGCAATAGAAGTTGAAGTTGTGATATTGTTACTATTTTGATTAAAGCCCGTTGTGGTTGAGGTGTGTAAACTCATTTGTTGATCTTGTTGAAAACTTGTGACAGAATCTGATAGCTTCTTATATTCTTGTTGGTTTGAAGGGACTGGTTCAAAAAAATTGTTTACAGAATCTGACATTTTTATCTTGATATTTTTTAAAGAATAAAAAATTAAAAAAATTATAACTTTTAATGAAATAGTAGAAAAATTATATTTTTTTATTCAACATCCGAAAAAGACCCATTCATATGATATTCATATGGTTTTGAATAATTTATTTTTTATTTTTTATTTTTATCCTGGAAAAACGATGTTACATAAATCAAAATGTGACAATTGAAAATTCATCTATAACAATAAGATAGGAGATGATACATACCCACTTTATTACCGTTATTGGGAATAATTTATGCCAAAATTTATCCTAATTAAGAAATGATTTTCGACTTTTGAAGGCCAAAATTGAATTATTCGGGGTCCTATAAAACATGTGGACGTTTCGTTCGGTTTTATCACATTAATGGTTGTACAACTTTTTAAAAATTTACTTTTTTACTTTTAAATTACTTTTAAATAAATTTCTTAAATGAATTAATTAAATAAGTTAATTTGGATATAAATTTTTTTTTCTTTTTGATCTATAATTTTTTTGTATATAAACATATTTAAACATAATGACTAACAATGAATTCCAATAATTATAATAATTATGTAGGATTGATTTCATCTACATTTTATATGAACAAAAAAAGATCTTGACGCAGCAAACATTTTTAGGGCCAAGACAAGTAATCAGGGTGACTCAAAGATTTCGTACACGATTCATACAATAGAAAGAAGTGTGGCTCGTAATAAAATGATCAACCCCCAACCTACTTAATTAAGCGTGATAAGTCAGGAAAAAAAATATATTATTATTATATATGAAACATTAATAATATCATAGGATCCAAATTTTTAATAAATAATGCTCCATTTCCTCAATAGCTTGGAAACGTACTAATGCCACTTCTGTTTAGACCAAATTATTTTCATTAAGATAATCAAATATACTTTTGACATTTATTGATTAATTTTTGGTTGGTCATAATATTATTTTATTTTTAAATGATATTCATCCCAAGAATTACATGTTGGAAATATTTTAAAAAAAAATAAGGTGAGAAAATTACTCCTTACTTTTTCAAAACGGATGACACTAAAGCTATTGAAGAATATTTGAATAAATAAAAGATATTTACAAAAAATGGGAAATACAGCTCCTATAAAAGTGACAACAATAAAAGGACGTTAACAAAAAATAAAAAAAAACAAAAAATAGAAGATAAATAATTTGCAATTCATATTAAGTTAATTGTCAGCATTATTTGGTTTGGGCAAGTGATATCTTTAAATTTATCTTACACAAACGGATGAATATTATTACAAAGGTATTCTTGACACTTTAAGTTCATAGTAGAGTGTCCAGTATTATACATTTTTTTTCCAAATTATGCTCTTATTGCAACCATAATTTTTGGCCAAAATTAAAATGCACAAAATTTAATTTTTCTAATTAAGATACCAAAAGAATATCTCTACATCAACATCAGATACAGGAAACCAAACATATTTTAATGCAATTGGACTTAGTGTTGGTAATATTTTTTTTTTTCATTCCAATAATTCATTGAAATTTTCTTGCAAATTACAATAGAACCTTTCTTTCTACTTTTTCCGCCAGTAGTTTTGTCAACGGTTAGACTAATTGTTTTTGAATTTCCCACTTGTAAATTCATAACATATTTTTCTTGTAGTTGATTTGAACCTACAATAAAACCCTCTGATAATACTAAGATATAATAATAAAAATAAATAATTTTATATTTTCTCCCAACCATTCTTTGTAAATGCTTCAATGATTGTAATATTAATTTTTTCGCAATCATTAGTAACGAAAGAACTCAAAGATCTTTGTAAAGATTAAATTTTGAAAAGTAAATTATTTGTAGATTATGCAACTACTCAAAAATTAAGAATTATGCGAAAGCATAATCCTGGGCACTCTGGCACAGAGGAGTAGGTGTTAATATGGGGATTGATAAAGCTTTAAGATCATTTATAAGTTTACAAATTTACGTTTTCTAATTTTAATTCGTGGAAAGGCCCATTGGTAACTTCCCGAGCTTTTTACAACACCAGGATTAGAAGGTCCAAAAAGAAAATGTTGAAATTTTTGAATAACTTTTAATTTCTTCTTGAAATAATTCTCCAAACTTGATTTAATGAAATTAAAATAAAAATACATACAAGATTTTTCAAGAAATAAGCATGCTACGGATAAAAATTCATTTATTCAATTTTTGTTTCTTTGAGTATTTTTGTTGTTCTAGATCTTGCTTGTGATTGAAGAACCCGTTTGAAACCACATTTTTAAAGTTTTCCATACTCCATTCAAAACTACAATCACAATCATAAGAAATTCGAACTGTTGGTTTTCCTAATGTGCCAGACCAACGGTTAAAACGCCAAAGATATTAATATCCGGATGTATCCGACCGAGTAGCCTAAATGAACATTTGGCTAAACCGACTAAACTACTTAGTCAAGTTTAGTCAAGGCAATTATTATCAAATTAGAATTTTAACCCCTTTACGCGGGCCAGCCTGATTTCCCAAATATATTATATACTCCCGAGTACTAGTCGTATATCATACCATTTATGGGAAGATCAACACTCGTGAATACAAGGAGATATTGACCTATCGTATTTTTATTTACTTGGAGAATATTGATTTTATTTATTTCTCAGTTTCTCAGTTAAGGAAGACAAGCTGAGAACAAAATCTTGTTTATTAGGAAACTTAATTTTCATATTTAGTTTTCATGTCAACTAAAAAGACACATTCTAGTTTAATAATAACATAAAAAATAAAATAATAAAATACACCAAAATTACTTGTCGCGTTTCAACGAATTTTGTACGTGAAGCAAAAATTCGTTATAATGCGAATTTAATTGAAACTATAATAATATTATGAACAAACACAATTAATGTATCAAATTTATTATTCGTAAAATTTCTAATAAGGAGAATCTCTATATAAAATTGCAATCATTATCAAAAGGGCCTTAATATCATGTCGTACTTGTTCAGATTTTTGTGATTTAATAGCATGTTGACTGACATATTAAAAACCCATTAAAAATTGGTTTAGAAATGGTTTAGGAAAATAATTTTGTAGCAAGATATTTACTAATTTGTATTACAACGAATTTTCGCTTCACATATAAAAACATATAAGATTCGTTGAACTGTGATAAGTAATATTTTGGTATAATAGTAATGAGTGTCACCATAGGTTCTTTGAGACGAAGTTTGACCGTATGCAGTTGTTTTCAAAATTTTTCAAGCCGATCATACTATATTAAGTATTCGTTATACCTTACTGATGAGCACTCACGAGTACTCGTGCAGATCACTCATAGAGTGTTAATCACCAGGGTTTCTATTCGAATAAGGTTTATTCAATTATTCGTTTTATTCGTTACGAATTTGAGTATTCGAATAAAACTAACAATTCGAATAAAATGAACGATAATAATAATAATAAAATTTATAATAGTAATTCGAATAATCCAATCCATTAAAATTTTTTTTCTTTATCAATCTATTTTTCCTTAGTCCTTGAATATAGTAACGGTTCTTTGATTTTTACATAATTGTCATTCTAAATATAGTCTCCTCAATACTAAAGCCGGCTACATTTTTTCTAGAATAATCCGATTGATCAATTAGCACAGGTGCGATTGTATCTTTTCATTTTCAAAAAAAAAAAAAATACGAATTTCAAGTAAAATAAATAACTTTTAAATAGATCACTGACATATAACTTTGTAATTATTACATAATATTGAAATAAACACATTTTAAGTTTTATTATCTCTTATTTACGAATTGTTGGGTAGTTGAAGGGCAAGACCGTTGTGAATTGCTTCGTAACCCTTTCTAAAGATTAATGGTTTGGAAAACTCCAATGAAATATGAACTTTAATATCAAGTGAGTAGTATGAATATGTAGACAATGCTATGGATATTGATCTTGTACCGCTAGACAGCGAGAAATGTCTAACTGCTGTAGAAGATCAGGTAGAGGAATTAACACTACCAGTAAATTAAAAGTTGGCACTTGTATATTATGACCAACGAATGAATAGATGATGATTGTATGATTGGTAATAGGATGTGGTATATATGTTAGGACTATAGTTAGTTTTTCTTTAAATTGTCCATATGCGCTAAATTTGTTTGATCCCCAAAATTCAGTACGGTATGATTGGTTTGACGGGTTGTTGATTAGTAAAATATTTTTTTATAGCAGAGCAAATAAAATTTTTTATCATTCTACTGACCAGTTTACACATTAAAAGTACTCGTATTTACATATGCGCTGATTTTGTTTGAACCCCAAAATCCAGTACGGTATGATCATAACGTTATGAATACTTTATACTAGCAAAACCCATTGGTTTTGAGGTGAGGCCATTGGTTTGACGGGTTGATGGATAGTAAATTAGTTTTTTTAGCGGAGAAAATAATTTTTTAGGGTAATTATCATTCTACCGACCAGTTTACACATTAAAAATACTCGTGTTTAACATCGAGACACAATAAGACATAAGGTTTGAAAAAAGACCCAAAAAACCAAATCGGCTGATATGAACGTCGAGACACAATAAGATATAAGGTTTTAAAAAAAGGTCCAAAAAACCAAATTGGCTGATATGTCTTGTGCTCCTTTAAATTGCGATGCAGAGATGCAGAGACCGACATGCCCATGCTATGAACAATAATCAAAAAATGGAGAAAAAAAAAGTTGAACAATACTTTTTATTATAAGGCACGTGATTTAAAATTGACACTAATTTGTTTCACTTTATCTAATACTAAATCAAGATGAGATTTCAACAGAGTATAAACGTAGATAATAAAAGAGCTGATAGAAAGACTTTGTAAAGAAGTTAAAACTAATTAGGTTAGTAGAAAAATCTTATTAGATAAAAGAAAAATTGCAAATAAAATTGTTTATACGAGAGAATGTTTTTTAACTGCAATCAGATCATAGGTTTACGAATTAACAAAGTAATAAGTATAGAAG